TGCTGCCGCTGCTGCTGCCTCTGCTGCTGCTTTTGCTGCTTCTGCTTCTGCTGCTGCTGCTGCTTTTGCTGCTTTTGCTTCTGCTACTGCTGCTGCTGCTGCCTGCCCTGTGCACCCTCCCCTCTGCCTCTACGTGCCCATAATTACGTGGCTTTTCATTTACTGGGCCAAATGAAGGAGGCACTTGCTTCCCATCTGCTGGTGCTGCCTTGGGTTTGCCTCAGAAAACTCCAGCCGTGGCTGAATTATGAGACCTTTTCTAGCCCCTCCTGGGCCAGTGCTGGAGGGTGATGCGCCTGCAGGCATGGAGGGATAGAGAGGGATGTCTTTTTTCATTAGCTGGGAAAGTCCCTTGTGCCTTTCTGTGCTTGGAGATGCACCCGAGCAGATGGCAGGAGCCTTCCTGGAGCAACACAGACTTGAGAAGGGCGGTAGCAGGTTCCCAAGAGCTCAGTGCCTCCTTGGGGTGTCTTTTCTTCTGGAGAAAACAGGTGTTGGAGATGTCCTCTTTGCCATGGCATTGCTCTGCATGGCAGTCCTGCAGGCCTGTGTCACCCTGAGCATCTGAGCTCTGCCCTGCTGCAGCCCAGCACAGCCCTCGGGGGCTGGGGTGGGCCAGTGAGCCTGGGGTACAAGTGGAGGGGATGCTGGTTGTTTCAGGGGATCCAGAGGTAGGAACCAGTCCTTGGAGGCAAGGGAAAGCATCTCTCCTCCTCTTCCTGGCACCCTCTCACTCTGGGTTTGTGAGCACACGGGGTGAGGAAGCAGCACTCGTGGCACCGGGGCCGGCGTTGGGATCTCTGGGCTCAGCCCGGCTGCTGCTGTGCCCTCACCTTCCCCCAAAAGCACTGGGAAGGGAAGGGCCCTTCCCTGGGCTCTCCAGCTCTCCCACCACCATCCTCTCCCCGCAGAAAGCTGCGCTGGCACAGCTTCCAGAACTCGCACCGGCCCAGCCTGAACTCGGCCTCCCTGGAGATCAACCGCCAGTCTTCAGCCCAGCTCAACCTGCTCCAGAAGTGCTCCCTGCTCCGCCTCACAGCCATCATGGAGAAGTACTCTGTGCCCCACAAGCAAGCCTGGACCTGGTGAGCTGGTGGGACGGGAAGGTGCTGCCACGGTTGGGTGCAGGCTCTGTGCTGTGCCAGACACTACCTCCCAGCCTGCATCCCACAGCCTGGGGCACCTTTTGTGTGTGAAATTGATGGAGAGGGAGGGGGAAGAGAGGAAACAAGAGCTGTCTCTGGCCTGCACAGCTGTGGGCATCCTAGCAAGTGTGAGCTGGAAGCTGATGCCTCGGCGCTCAGCGTCATCTGCATCCGAGAGGGATGCAGCTATTTGTGAGGCATTAAAAATGCTGCAGCTGCATAAGAAAGAGGGCCAGTAATTTACTTCTGTAGCCAACAATCAAAGCATTTTGGCTTAATAACAGGAGCTGCAGTGGCTGCTTGCGAGTGGCCTTTGCTGATATTCCAAACACACCACGTGTGTGCGCGTGTCCCTTTCCTGAGGGAGCTGTTCCTTGCACCAATGTCTGTCTGTGCCACCCTGCAGGACTGTGCCCAAGTTCATGAAGCGCAGTAAAGTCCCCGACTACAGGGACAAGACAGTCTTTGGGGTGCCCCCCATCATCAACGTGCAGCGGACGGGGCAGCCGCTGCCGCAGAGCATCCAGCAAGCCCTGCGCTACATCCGCAGCCAGTGCCTGGACCAGGTGATGCCACAGCCCTGGCTGGGGGGGGACTTTGCAGGGAAACCTCTCATGCAGGGTTGCTGTTTATTCACCACTTGCAGCACTTGGCTGTGCTGAAGTGTTGGGGAGGGGGGGGTGAGGTTGCTTGTGGGAACTCCACACTTAACTGCTGTCTCCTCAGCCACCCCTCACACAGGCTTCTCCTTTGGGGAAGGGGCTTCCTTGTCTGTCCCATGGAAGTCTGCCTGGGCACCTCCTGGCTCGGTGCCCATTCTGGACTCAAGCAGCAAAACTGCTCTTCAGAGTGGTGGTGAATGGAGTGCAATCTGGTTGGCAGCTGGTGGTGGTGTTGCCCAGGGCTCAGTGCTGGGGCCACTCCTGTTTAATATCTTTATCAGTGACCTTGCTGAGGAGATTGGGAGCATGCTCTGTAAGTTTGCAGACAACACTAAGTTAGGTGGGAGTGTTGATCTGCTCGAGGGTGGGAAGGCTCCTCAGAGGGACCTGGACAGGTAGGATTGATGGGTTGAGGCCAATTGTATGGGTTTCAACAAGGCCAAGTGCCGGGTCCTGCACTTGGGCCACAACAACCCCAGGAAACACTACAGGCTTGGGGAAGTGTGGCTGGAGAGCTGCCCAGCAGAAAGAGACCTGGGGGTGGTGACTGACAGCTGGCTGATGTGAGCCAGCAGTGTGCCCGGGTGGCCAAGAAGGCCACCAGCATCATGGCCTACCTCAGGAATAGTGTGACCAGGAGGTCTAGAGTGGTGATTGTCCCCCTGTGCTTGGCACTGGTGAGGCTGCACCTTGAGTACTGTGCTCAGTTTTGGGCACCCAGTATAAGGACATCGAGATGCTGGAGCAGGTACAGAGAAGGGCAACCAAGCTGGTGAAAGGTCTTGAGGGTAAGTCTTATGAGGGGCAGCTGAGGGAGCTGGGGCTGTTTATTCTGGAGAAAAGGAGGCTGAGGGGAGACCTTATTGCTCTCTACAACTGCCTGACAGGAGGTTGTAGAGACACAAGTGCCAGTCCCTTCTCACCAGTAAGAGGTGATAGGATGAGAGGAAATGGCCTGAAGTTGTACCATGGGAGGTTCAGGCTGGATATGAGGAACAACTTCTTCACAGAAAGGGTTGTCAAGCACTAGAACAGGTTGCCCAGGGAAGTAGTGGAGTCACCATCCCTGGATGTGTTTAAGAGTCATGGAGACGTGGTGCTGAGGGATGTGGTTTAGCAGTGGGCTTGGTAGAGTCAGGTTAGTGGTTGGACTTGGTGATCTGACAGGCCTTTCCCAAGCTAGACAGTTCTGTGATTCCCCTGGCAGGTTGGTATTTTCCGCAAGTCAGGGGTGAAGTCCCGGATCCAGGCTCTGCGGCACATGAACGAGACCAGCCCCGACCACGTCAGCTACGAGGGGCAGTCTGCGTACGACGTGGCCGACCTGCTGAAGCAGTATTTCCGCGACCTGCCCGAGCCCATCTTCACCAGCAAGCTGACCGACACCTTCCTGCAGATCTACCAGTGTAAGTGCTGGGCGGGGAGCCTGCGCTGTCCCAGGGAGGAGGCCTCTCTCTGCGGGTGTGGATGGAGGCAGGAACCTGCTGACCACGGGCCTTGCCCTGTCCTTGCAGTCGTGCCCAAGGAGCAGCGGCTGCAGGCGGTGCAGGCGGCCGTCGTCCTCATGCCGGACGAGAACCGGGAGGTTCTGCAGACCCTGCTCTACTTCCTGAGTGACATTGCTTCTGCTGAGGAGAACCAGATGACCGCCGGGAACCTGGCCGTGTGCCTGGCCCCCTCCATCTTCCACCTCAACGTGTCCAAGAAGGAGAGCACCTCTCCAAGGTAAGGGTGGGCATCCCCAGCCCTCCTGCAGCCCCCGCCTCCCGTCATCCCCTCCCTGCCCACCCTGGGAGGAGTCCAGCAGGGAAGGGTCAGGCATGGTGGGAGCACCACATGCTCTCAGCACAGCTCCCCATCACAGTACTGTGTGAAGGGGGTGGGTCCCCTGGGCAATGGGGGGTAGAGGCAGGTGAGCTCCCCACCCACCCGGTCCCATCAGCGCCTGCTTCCCTGCAGGGTGATACACAAGAGAGGCACCATGGGGAAGCCTGACCAGAAGGACCTCAATGAGAACATGGCTGCGACGCAGGGGCTCTCCCACATGATCACTGACTGTAAGAAGCTCTTCCAGGTGGGTGGCTGTGGTGTGTCCAGGCTGGCATTGGCCTCCCTGGGCACCGCCAGTGAGAGATGTGACCTCACCAGTGGAGTGCTGGTCTTGCGGAGTCAGTGTGGGGCCAGATAAGGGCACATCTCCACCGGTGGGGTCAGTCATCCCTGGGAGTGAAGCCCAGCTGCACCTCATGGTGAGGCAGGATGTATGTCCACGGAGACTGTGTCCATCCTTGCTCCACCTGTGGTGGGGTGAGGAGCTGGGGTTTTCTACCTGCCCAGGACCACTCACAAAGTCTGTGTAGGATCCCACTGGCTTCCTGAAGATCGATATCCTCTTGGCTTGTAGGTCTCCCATGACATCTTGCTCCAGCTGAGCAGCTCCTATATGGCAGCAGATGCTTACCCCCATCCCCTGGCTGACCTCATGTGCCAGGGGGAAAGCAAGGATTTACACTCCTACTTCGAGCAGAGTGTCCAGAACCTACTCAAAGAGTCATCTGAGAAGTTCAAGGGGTGGCTGAGCACCCCGGGGCCCCTGAACACAGAGCTCTCCTGCAAAAAGGTAAATGCTTCTGTGTGGAGGGGGGCTTGGAATCGTGGGGAAATGTGTGTGGGGTGACAACTGGGTGCCCTGGGGCCTGTGGGCACCTGCCAACCCACTGACAACCTTGGTGCTTGTTCCCTTCAGTGAGGAGGGATCAGCAACCCCTTCCCTGGCCAGAGCAGGGGCTGCAAGGTAGGCAGCTCTGGGATGGAGGCTGCTCTGAACCCAGCAGTCCCACAGAGAGCCCACCCTGGTGGTGTTAGCAGAGGAGCTGGTTGTCTGCATCCAGCTGTTGTCCAGCAGCCAGAGCAGCTCCACTTCCATCCCATCCCATCCCAGTCTCCTCACTAGGAAGCAGATGTGCTGCTCCATGGCAGTGGGAGCCATTGGTAAAGCCACTGCCACAGAACCACCTGCCTGACCCTTCCCTTGGCCCCTCAGGTTGGAGATGGGCACCCTCTGCGCTTGTGGAAAGTCTCCACAGAGGTGGAAGCCCCCCCTGCCACGGTGCTGCACCGGGTGCTCCGGGAGCGTCACCTCTGGGATGAGGACCTGCTGCAGAGCAAAGTGGTGGAGGCCCTGGAGAAGAACATGGAGGTCTATCACTACGTGACGGACAGCATGGCACCCCACCCGCGCCGGGACTGCGTGGTGCTCCGGTGAGGGCTGGGAGGGTCTGGTCTCAGTTTGGTGGGTCCCATCTGGGTTGTGTGGGCTACCCCAGCTCCCTGCTCCCCATGTGGACCCTGGCGGGTGGGCAGGGGCTGCCCATGGTGGGCTTGCAGGGGTGGAGCTGAGCCGTGTCCCACAGGCGCTGGTGCACAGACCTGCCCCGGGGAGCCTGCCTGCTCATCTCCATCTCGGTGGAGCACGACAAGCTGCTGGTGGAGGGAGGAGGTGTCAAAGCCATCATCCTGATGTCCCAGTACCTCATTGAGCCCAGCGCCGTGGGACGTTCCAAAGTGACCCACATCTGCAGAGCTGACCTCAGGTGAGGTGCCCTTGGTGCCACCACATCAGCAGCTGCATCAGCCATCAAGGAGGGTGGTGGGGCAGCAGGTGGGAGCAGCAGCTGCTTGTCCCTCTGCCTGCCTGGAGGGATAGGAATGATGGTCTGGGACTGGGCTTCAGCTGCCAGGTGGTGACTGGGTAGGAGCCACCAGCCACCAGCCCAGTGTTCCAGTGCTGGCAGTTCCTCCAGTGGCTCCCAGTGTCCAGCAAGTCCTTTAAGGCTTCTGCTGAGAAGATGGGATCTCCTGGAAGGCTGGAGAATCTCTGCTCTGTGGGAGCTGGGCTTGGGGGCTGGAAGTGTAAGGGTGGGCTGAGGGGTTGGTATAAGGGTGGGTTGATGCAGGGGCAGGCTGGTTGGGTCACAGATGTTCCCCTTTTTGCCACACATCTGGAGTTGGGAAGGCACATTCCCTTTTCTGCCATGTGATCATTCAGCAGCTCCATCACGTGGAGCTGCCTGTGCTGAGTGCTTGTCCCTCAGCAACTGATGTTTTGCTCCTTGGCATAGGCCTGGGTCCCCTTTGCCCACTCACACTTCTGTTCCCTTCTCCAGGGGCCGGTCTCCCGAGTGGTACAACAAGGTCTTTGGCCACCTCTGCGCCATGGAGCTGGCAAGGATCCGAGACTCCTTCCCAGCCCTGAGTCCCAGTGGCCCCGAGACAAAGATCTGAGGCACCAGGGAGATGCTCTGTCCTGTCTGATACGGACTTGCTGGTGGGCGTGGGCTGGGGCTCTCGGAGGGGAGCCCAGTGCCAGATGTGGAGGGGGAGCAGAGGCTGGTGTGTGGACAGGCACATGCTGATGAGCATCCTTCTGCCCTGGGGTGGGCATTCCCCATCCCACCATCTCTGCTGCTGCTTCAGCCACGCCTCCCTCATGCTGGGCAGCAGGTTGTCCACAGAGGTGAAGCTGAGGAGCCCCGTGGACTGAGGGAGGTCAGAAAGCAGAGGGAAAGTTTTTTGGGAGGGCAGGTTGAGTCCCCTGTGCAAGCTGGGAGTAGGGGCTGAGGTTTGTGGAGAGAAGGATCAGTAAGAGGGGCAGGACGGGCACGTCCGTAGGTCACAGCGCGGTGTGGGGAAGTGAGGGGTGGGCAATGAGGCAGGGGGGCAGAGCCTGTCACCTGGTGGTGACAGCAAGGGAAGCACCCCAGAGCCTGGGTGGTGGTGGAAGAGGCTGTTGTTGTGGGAGGAGGGGGCTGCATCCCAACAGCAGGGTGTGCCCCAGGTGGCAGAAGGCAGCTGTTGCACCTTTGGTGCTGGATTTCATAGAAGACAAAGCCCTCTGGTCATGGGCCTTGCTGTCCCTCAGCTCAAAGCCTCTCTTCTGCACCAGGTGTTAGTGGGTGGCTGGATGGGTGATATTCCGAGCCAAGCCCATCCCTTGAAACCATCCACCCATTGTTTGAAGTGTGCAGGACACATCTGAAGCCCCAGAGCTACAAGCTGGGATGGGGCCATGTGCACCTGGAGCGAGGTGGGGTGGCGGGGAGGGGTGGTGTCCTGGGGTCACCTTTCTGATGGCCAAGCCCTTGACCTCCTGGGTGCAGAGCTATTCCCTGCAAAAACGTCTGTTCCCCTTCCATCCCTCCCTTTCCTCCCTGGAGAAACCACCTGCTGGAGCTGTCAGCACCTGGGAGCTGACCTGGGTTCTCTGTTCAGGAAGGGACCCAAGTAACTAGACATTGTTCCAACTGGAAGTCAACATGACCCACACTTGGGAGTCATTCCTGGGGTCAGTTTCACTGTAACACATCCTCTCTGTCTCTCTTTTGGTGGAAAAAAAAAAAAAAAAAGCAACCCAGCCTGTGTTCTGCATTTTTATATATATATATTTATATATATAAAAAAATACAACTAATATTAGGGGGAGTGATTTTTCTCCTAATTTTTTAAAAAATATTTCTTTTTTTTCTATCTATAAATACTTGTACAGTTGGAATATTAATATATAACTCGTAGAGCTCAGTGCCAGGTGATGCTCACTTGAAAGACGTGTGTTTTATATTGAAGGGACTTTTGTATCATGTGCAACTGCAACACATTGATTGACTTGGATTGGGGCTGCTCTTCCCATCCATGTAATTAATAAAGTACTAACGATATTGGCTGGCTGATGAGGTAACCTTCATGCTTAGCAGTTCTCCAACATCCTGGAGCTGAGCTGTGAGCTTTCTCATGGAGCTGATGGTAGTGCCTGGCAGCTGTGGATGTCCTTATGTGGTGGGGGGGTCAGGTGCTGCTGGCCTGCAGTGGCACCAGGGTGAAGCTGGGGTGGGACTCGTGCAGCTCCAGCTGCTTGTTCTGCAGGCAACCCTTCACCTTCTCCTGGAAGGAGGTGGTGGTGATGGTGTAGAGGATGGGATTCAGGGCACTGTTGATGGGCAGGATGAAGATGACCACCCAGGAGGTGATGGTGCCTGTGCCAACACAGAGATGACATGAGGCAGCTGAGAGGGCTGCCCTCCCCTCAAGGGTGACCCACCCGCCCTCTCCAGCCCACGCAGCGAAGGTAGAACCGTCTCCCCTCGCAGCCCAGCTCCGACCTCAGCAGCACCTGCACGAAGGGGTCTCTGACCCAGGGATCCGCCCTGGGCTCTGGGACTTGGGGGTTCACCTGGTATTTCCACCTGCAGCAGGGAGAGCAGCTTGAGGAGGAAGATGGGGATCCAGCAGAGCGCGTCGGTGAAGACGATGAAGAAGAAGCGCTTGGCGATGGCGACTTCCCGGGAGCAGGCGCCTCCCTCTGCTGTTTTGGAGGCGGTGACGTGGATGGAGTAGAACATGCCAGAGTAGGCGAAGAGGATGGTGATGAAGGCTGCGAGATTCAAGCCTGGAGAGGAAGAAACTTGTCTCTGAGCGTAGCCAAAGTGCAAAGATCCGAGCTGGGCTCGTTGGCGGGGCCGGGCGACTCCTGCTTCTGTCACTAGAGGGGGCAGAGACATCTCGGTTCCCGGTTAGACCTGGATCCAGCCCCTGAGGCTGGAGCAGGGACCCTCCCCAGCCCAGGAGGGAGGGCAGAGCTGGCAGTGCTTCTTGTCGGGTCCCAGCGGGATGGCAGTGCTCTGAACAGCCGCACATCCCAGTAACAGGTGGTTCGGGCCCTCCTGGCGCCCTGGGGGGAAGCCCAGCGGGAAAGCCCATCCTGCCCCACATTGTCCCCACGTCCTGAGGTGACCTTACCCAGGTAGATGGTGGCAGAGTATCCCCGGGCGCTGGGCCGCTCGCCCAGGTCGGACTGCAGCGGGAAGCACACCCCGTTCCTCCCGTAGTAGTTCCCAAAGGTGTCCTTACAGCACAGGGGGACGATGCTGAGGGAGAAGCCCAGAAGCCAGATGGCCGCGAGCACCGAGATGGTCTGCTTCTTGCCAGCTCTGTGGTGGCTGAACGGGAACACAATGGAGAAGTATTTCTCCAGGGTCATGTAGGTCAGGAGCAGGACAGACACCTCAGAGGACAGCATGGCCAGGCTGCCCACCAGCTGGCACTGCAGGCTGCCCATCCAGCCCTGGGCATGCTTGTTGTATTCGCCTGAGTACTTGAGGTCGAAGGCTCCGATGAGGAAGAGGTAGATGCCCATCAGGCCATCTGCACCTGAGGGGAGGCAAAGCACCCTGAGAGAACAGCAGCAGTGGGGAAACATTGCCCTTGCCATGGCCATAAAGCCACCACAGAGCTGGGTAGCCTTGGGCTCTATACATATTTTATATCTATATCTGTATCTATATCTACATCTATATCTATCTATCTAGATATAGATATATAGATAGATATAGATATTTATATATTTATATATTTTTATATTTATATATTTTTATATTTAGATAGATAGATAGATAGATAGATAGATAGATAGATATAAATATATACATGTAAGAGCTGCCTGCTGGTGCCTGAGAGCACAGACCTGCAGACAGGACCGAGGTGCTTCAGGCCCAGAGGGATGCCCAGAAACCCATCTACCACCAGCACAAAGATGGGCATGAAACATTTCCCAGGGGAGATGCTGTTGGGCAGCTCCTCCCCTCCCCGGTGCCTCGGTGCCCCCTGCCCGGCTGCCCCCCGCTCACAGCACAGGGACTTGATGGCCATGGCGTGCTGGCTGTTCTCGGCTGCGAGCAGGGAGCGCATGCAGATGACAAAGAGGTTGCCGAGGCAGGTGAGGCAGGCGATGACCCAGACGGAGACGCGCAGGATGATGCTGGCCAGGAGGTTCTCGAAGGAGGAGATGCCGTCGGTGTTGGGTTTGCAGCTGCGCACGTGGGGGGCGTAGCGGCAGTACTGGAACTTCTTGAAGTAGCTGGTGGGGAAGTCGAGGGGTCAAGGAGCCTTCCTGGCTGTGAGCAGCCCCAGGAGCAAGCACAGCCCGGTGTGCACAGCCCCTCCCGGCTTCCCCCGGCCACCAAGGAGCGTCCTGCTCACACAGGGCTGCAGTGGTTGGGGACACTAAATCAGCAGCACCCCAGAGCCTTCACTAAGTGCTGGCAGCTCCCTGGGGCTTGTTGGATCATGTGCCACAGCCACACTCTTAAATCTGCCACTATCCAGCACCATCAGCTGATAAACAGACCCGTGTTTTCCTCCAACCCATGATTCTCCCAAACTAACTCTGAAAAAATCAATCCCTTATTCAAATCCTTCCAGTTCCATTAACAGGGATCCACATTTTTTCCCCTGCATATTATTTCAGATTAATCTTTTCAAGCCTTATTAAAGCCAACCTGCATGAGCTTAGCAAAGCTCTACATTAGAAAATGACTACAAAACTGCCACGCGAGGCTCATTTCTGCTTAATTATAGATAAAAAGAGAGAAAATGATTGCTTATTAGCAAGTCAGGTAGAAAATGTACCATATTTCTAGTGCAAACAGACCAATTACGGAAAGGAGGACGTACAGTTGTCTTTCATTGCAGGGACTTCAAAGTGTGCATCTGGAGAGAATTAATGGTTATTTTCTCCTTCTGAAGCACTCCCAGCTGGCTGCATGGCCCTGCTCCCCCCCAGGTGCCATCACTGTCCTGCCTGGGTACCTGGACATCTCTGGGCTTCCTGGGGCATCATCTGAGACCCAAGCAAGGGGTCTCCAATGCCATTGCTTCCCCCCAGCTTCCAGCACAGAGCCTGGCACTGGTGCCAGAGTCCACCTTGTCTCTGTCACCTACACCCCCTGCTCCCCCCTGCTCACATGTGTGAGAGGCTGGTCAGCTTCTGGAAGGTCAGGTTGTGGATGTTGGGAATCTCCAGCCCTTCCAAGCTCCTGCAAAAGGAAACCAGTGCAGAGGAGGGGAGGTGGGAGTGGCACCAGGCTGGGCATGGGGATGTTGTGGGACTCACAGGGACCGCAGCCGGGGCAGGCTCTCAAACTGGCCAGGGAAGATCTCTTTCAAGGGATTGTAGGAAATATTCCTGAGAAAGAGACAAGCCTTTGGTGGTTTCCTCACCTGTAAGCTATGAAAGCAGCCAAAAACAAGGGCAAAGGGGTATTTTTCCATGGCTTTTCCCAACACAGCCCATTCCCCTGGGATGAGCTGGCAACCCTGGGGCAGAGGATGCACAGGCAGCAGGGCAGGGAGCCCATCCTGCTGGGGCCACCAGGGCCTTGGGAGAGAACAGCCCCTGCAGCCAGGGGTGCTGCAGGGCTCCCTGTCACTTGCAGGGGGATGGGGCACCCCTGGTACTCACAGCTGCTGGAGCTCTGCCAGGCCAGTAAAGAGCGAGGAGGGAAGCTGGTCCAGGCTGTTGGATGACAGGTCACTGTGTGGAGGAGAGAAGTGTTTGGGAAGCAGTTGAGGACACCAAGCCTTGCACCCTGGGGGTGCAGAGTGGGAATCCCAGAGAGACCCCTGACCCCAGCACAGCCACTGCCTGCAAAAGGGGTAAACATACAGCTCCATCAGCCTGTTCAGCCTGGAAAACGTCCCCTCCTGGATCCACCGGAGCTTGTTCCTGCGCAGAATCCTGGAGGAGGAGGAAGGGGAGAGAACATGTGGATATGGCACAGCCCTGCACCCCCTCTGGGAGCATTGTCCCACTTTTGGATGGGCTGTGAGCAGTTGTGGATGCACCCAGCCCTCCCTCCCAAATGCACTGAGCCACAACCATCTCCTCCAGCAGCCTAACACTGGTGTAGAGGAGCTTGGAGCCAGAGCCCAGCTTTCAGTGCAAGGCTCCATCTCACAAAAGCCTGTCAGATGTGTGGGAGATGAGCAGAGCTGGTCGAAGTGCTCAGAAGTAAAAATCCAGAATGGTGCACCAAGAATCATCACTATTTTGGAGAATCCCTGTGGGATGTTAGGTGCTGGAAGGTGCTGGGGGAGCTCATAAGTGCCATGATCTGGGATGGGGCTCCTCAGTGGAGGGTCTCATCAGGCAGCAGGGCTCTGCTGTGCTTAGACACCAGGGAGGGCAGCCTGCTCTGACATGGTCCATGGTGTGGCTGGGCAGGATTGGGGAGATGGGTGAGTCCAGGTCATCCCACAGAGTCCCAACATGAGCCCTCGTCTCATCTGCTGCCCCTGCTCAGGAAGTCATCTCCTGCACTGGTGTTACCAGCACAGCATGTTTACACCTTCCGTCTTGCCTGTGTGGAGGTTTCCATGGCACTGCCACAACAGCTGGGGAAACACAGTGCTGAGCAGAGCCAGGGGCTGGGCTGCCAAAGGAGGGAGGGAAGGATGGACAGCAGGACTGGAAGGGGTGGCTGTGAACAGCTCTTGATGGAGGGAAAAAGGTGACGGTGTACATTTGGGGTTTAAACATCTATTTGGGCTTCTCCAAGAAAGGCAGGATGAGGGAACAGTCTTTGTGCAGCTCCTGTCCATCCTGTCCCAGCCCCGTATCAGCTACTGCTCAACCCTGGATTCACCTGCTTACCCTGATCTAGCAGCACTGGCACAGGGTCCTGCAAGGCATCCCCTGGGCTCCAGCTACCCCTAATTCCTGAGCCCTTGGCAGGGTGGCTTGGCTCCCCCGCCCACTGCTGCTCTCCTGCCACCATCCTGGGGCTTCTGGTAGCCTTGTGCTCATGGAAAACATCTGCACAGTGCACACTCCTCTTGTCCTGGGGCTCCAGAGGCCATATGTATCTCCTTGGGAAATAGATGGCCATCACATGCAGGAAAACTGGAGGCTGGGAGAGCTCTGGGCATCATTGCTGGGAGGCCACAGCCCCTGCCAGGTCCTGGGTGAGAGCTCAGAGCCAGGGCTAGGAGGGAACGGGGCAGAAGAAGGCTCCTGGCAGGAGGGATGGAAGCAGACAGTGTCTGGCATGTGGAGAGCCCAGCTCACAGGTTTTATGGCCTTCCTCAGGGATATTTTTAGAGGATTTGGATGCCAGCAGAAGAGCCTGGGCTGGCTGTGAGCTCTGCTATTTGCACACCCACAGGAAGCTTTTTCCACGCCATCCCCTGCCACTATCTCCCACCTGGAGAAGGTCCCTGTTCAATTTGGGCCGCCCCTTGGGCAGGTGACAGGGTGCTGGGATGAGCCCACCAGCTGCCCACCCTGCAAAGGGCTCTGGGGCCCCTGCTCAGGCCCCTACACAGCTCCTGGCTCTGATGCAGCATCGGTGCCGCGCACAGGGGTGAGCTGAAACCACGGACACTGAGACATCAGCCCCTCACCCAGCCCAGCCCTGAGTGCCACCCCCTCCCCCCCATGCCCGCAGTGGGACGGGGTCTGCAGGGGCAGGCACAGCTGGCCCCTGTGGTACTCACAGCACAGTGAATTCCTGGCACTCCTGGAAAACAGCCCTGGGCACCGCTCGGATCCTGTTCCCCTCCAGCTCCCTGCAGAAAGGCCAGTGTGGCTGCCACCTCACCACCCTCACCATGCTTGGGGGTCCCCAGCGTGATTCCACACCTCCTGCATGTGTGTCCCCCTCCCACGCAGAAGCCCCGAGCCCTCCCCCCTCCTGCAGGGCACTTACAGCCAGCTGAGCTTGGGCATCTGTGCGCAGAGGGAGGCGTTGGGCAGGCGGCTCAGCGAGTTGTTCAACAGGTACCTGGGCAGGAGGCAGCAAGCAGGACAAGGGAAGTGATGGCACCATCTCCCTGCCCAGGACACAACCCAGGACGTGGTCCTGCAGCTCCTGGATCATGTGGTGTTTCATGAGGCTACGAGGATGATGAAGGGACTGAGCACCTGCCTTACAGGGAACAGCTAAGAGACCTGGGGCTGTTCAGTCTAGAGAGAAGATCTGATTGATGTCTATAAATACATGAGGGCATCAAGAAGGCAGGGACAACCTCTTGTCACTTGTGCCCTGTGATAGGATATGGGGCAATGGACCTCAACATGAGGAAGAACTTCTTTTCTGTGAGGGTGACAGACCCCTGGGACAGGCTGCCCAGAGAGGCTGTGGAGTCTCCTTCTCTGGAGACCTGTCTGGATGCCTTTCTGAGTGACCTGCCCTAGTTTTTGTTGGGTTTTGGGTTTTTTTGTTTGTTTGTTTCTTTTTGTTATTGTTGTTTTTTTGTGGTGGTTTTTTAATTGTTGTTGTTTGGTTTGGGTGGGGTTTTTTTGTTTTGCTTTCTTTTTTTTGTTTGTTTAGTTTGCTTTTTTTTATTTTGTTTTTTTGTTTGTTTGGGGTTTTTTGTCCTGCTCTGGCAGGGGGGTTGGACTCGATGATCTTTGGAGGTCCTTTCCAACCCCTAACATTCTGTGATTCTCCGAGTACTTTCTGCTGGCTCTCACCCAGGAGGACACGTGCAGTGTGGGGATGCCCAGGGTGAGAGGGGGTTGGATGGAGCCCCCAGCCCAGAGCAGCATCTGCACCAGCTCCCAGCAGAGCAGCCACAGTAACCACAGAGCTAATTCAGCCACCACCACCCCAGGTGTGTGAGGCCATGGAGGGCAGTGTGGAGCTTCATTCGTTGGGAAAGAAATAAAGGTAACAACACTGGGCATGTTCAGGGGCTGTGGGAGATGCTCTCCAGTGAGCTGTGACGGGCACAGCCCCAAGAGAATGGAGCATGAAAGCAGCAGCCAGTGACCCTGGAGTGACAGGCAGTTAAGGCAGATTTACAGCCCCAGCTTCTGCTGGTGTTTTTCCCAGCACTTTTGCACATGCCTGCATGAACAGTGCTCCTCACTGCTCATTTTCTGACCGTGGTTTTAGTTTATTTGATTTCCTAACAAAAATGCAGAAGGATAAACAGTGCAGATCACCAAGCAGAGCTGCCTGCAATGTGGGAACATGAGGGGGGCCCTGTCCCTCTAGATGTCCCCCCATGGCTGGGACAGAGTGGGGATAGGGCTCTGGACACTGAGTGCTAACCAGGTTTGACATAAAAGCTAAATCCAGGGGTCACAGCCACCATCCCCATGGTGGTTGCCAGGCCTGGCTGTTCTCAGTTCCCCCAGCCCCAGGTACAACCATTACCCAAGTTTCACACACTCCCAAACCCAACTTTTTGGCTTTTACACCCAAAGTGAAGCAGTTCCATCTCCAGCAGGGACAGTTCAAGGAAGAAGCCTTCCAGGGAACACAGCTTAACATACAGACAGATGCATGTGAGCACTTGTGTGCATCTGTGCACTCACACACATGTTTTTTTCCCCTGTAACAGCCAAAACTTCTTCCCTGATGCTGACACCCTCAGAGTGGGGTTACCCCAACCTCCCAGGAGAGCTCCCAGCTCTACTCACAGGAAATACAGTGAGTTCAGCCCTGCAAACGCTGTGGGGACAATCTGGGCAATCTTGTTGTTGTCCAGCATCCTGGAAGGAGAAGGGGAGAAGTGAAAGGAGGGGACACAGAGAGGATGAGGAGGCAGCAGGATGCTCCTGGCAGGGGGAAGCCCCCACCACGTGCTGCCCTGCTGGGAGCTGGCTCTGACTATTCTCCCCCGTGAACTTCCATGATACCCATCCCCAGGCAGGGGCTGCCCCCTGGGAAGCCCATTCCCTCCCCTTTGGATCCTCCCAGGCAGCCCAGGCTGTTAAATCCAGCTGCAGAGTCTGGATTCCTTCACAGGCAGGGGCTGTTGGAGTTTTTCTCTCTTCTGCGGTGAACTAGAGATAAATTAGAAACTGTTCAGGGAATTCAGGGCTGTGTTTGGCTTCTCAAAAGTCCTCTGGCCTGTTTGCACCACAGACCACCCTCTGTGAGCTGCCCATCCTCTGCTCTCCTTCTTTGATTTAAGCAACAGTCCCAGGGCAGCCAGGGGAGGGGAGCTGGGGCTGGCAGACCTGCCCAAGCTGCAGAACAGGAACCAACCATCCTGTAAAGTGGCTTTTATGGTTTCTTTTCTTGTAGTGAAACCTTTAGGATCTCTGTTTGTAAAACCACACACAGAATCAAAGAGAGCCTTTGGGAATAAACAGAGGGGAAGGATATTAACTGTACATTTAATTCAGACGTACATTTTTCAGGGTGATGGAGCTGCAAATCTCTGTGTTTAACAGCTCATGTTAAGCCTTTTATACACAAAGCTCCAGTCTGAGCTGAGGCTGCCTCTACTCAAAGCCCATTGCTGTGCCCAACAAAGCTGGCCCTGCTGGACCAACTGGCCATTGTGGGCAGGAATCTGGCCAGTCTGTGCTAAACCTGACCCCAGTAATGGGAGGGAAACTCAAACGGGAGTTTGATAAAAAGAGCTGTAGCAGAGGGCAAGTGTGCCCAAGTGTGCCCTGGTCCCCAGGGCTGCGGGGAAAGAGGGTGGTAGAGACCCAGTTGGACACCCACAGCTCCCAAGGGAGTGTCAGATGAAGTTGCAATGCCACTTCCCATCGTATTTGAAAAGTCATGGCAGTTGGTGAAGTTCCCACTGACTGGAGATGGGGAAACATAACCCCCATTTTCAAAAAGAGAAGTAAAGAAGACTCGGGGAACTGCGGGCCAGTCAGCCTCACCTCTGTGCCTGGCAAGATCATGGAGCTTCCTGAAGGCTCTGCTAAGGCATGTGGAAAACATGGAGGTGGTTGATGGCAACAAACAGGGCTTCACCAAGGCCAAACCTGACAGATTTGGTGGCTTTTTATCATAGAATCATAAAATCTGCTGAGTTGGAAGGGACCCATCAGGACTATGAGTCCAACTCCTGTCCCTGTGCAGGGCACCCCAAGAATCACACCATGTCCCTGAGAGCATCAGCCAAAGGCTTCTGGAACTCAGGCAGGCTTGGTGCTGGGACCACTGCCCTGGGGAGCTTGTTCCAGTGCTCAACCACCCTCTGGGTGAAAACCCTTTTCCTGATATCCACCCTAACCCTGCAGCTTCTGCCATTTCCCCCTGTCCTGTCCCTTGTCCACAGGGGTGAAGAGATTTATGATGGGGTCAGTGGACAAGGGAAGAGCAACTGATGTAATCTACCTCAACTTGTGCAAGGTGTCCTGCATGACATCCTGGTCTCAAAAATTGGAAGGATATGGATTTGATGGCTGGACCATTCGGTGGATATGGAATTGGCTGGCTGGTTGTACTCAGAGAGTAGTGATCAGTGGCTAAAAGTCCAGATGGAGACCAGTGATGGGTGCTGTTCCTCAGGGTTCAGTACTGGGATTGGTGCTGTTTAACATCTTTGTCAGCAACCTGGTCAGTGGGATCAATGTCCCCTCAGCAAGTTTGCTGACAACACCAAGCTGTGTGGTGTGGTTGGCACCCCAGAGGGAAGGGATCCATCCAGAGGGACACTGACAGGCTGGAGAGGTGGCCAGTGCCAACCTCATGAAGTTCAACAAGGCCAAGTGCAGGGTCCTGCCCCTGGGTCGGTGCAACCCCGGGCACAAATACAAGTTGGGTGGAGAACGAATTGAGATTAGTCTTCAAGAGAAGAACCTGCGGTTGTTGGTTGATGAAAAGCTCACCATGAGCCAGGAATGTGCACTGACAGCCCAGAAACCAACCATGTCCTGGGCTGCATCAAACGAAGTGTGGCCAGCAGGTTGAGTGAGGTGATCCTGCCCCTTTGTTCCACACTCATGAGACCCCACCTGGAGAACTGTGTCCAGTTCTGGAGCCCTCAACACAGGAAGGACATAGAGCTCTTGGAGTGAGTCTGGAGGAGGCCATGGAGATGATCCAAGGGCTGGAGCAGCTCTGCTCTGGAGACAGGCTGAGAGTTGGGGTGTTCAGCCTGGAGAGGAGAAGGCTCCAGGGAGACCTTAGAGCACCTTCCAGTGCCTGAAGGGGCTCCAGGAAAGCTGGGGAGGGGCTGTTTACCAGGGTGTGTAGTGATAGGCTGAGAGGTAATGTTTTCAAGCCGGAAGCCATGAGATTTAGGTTAGACATCAGGAAGAAATTCTTCACTTTGAGGGTGGTGAGACCCTGGCCCAGGTTGCCTAGGGAAGCGGTGGCTGCCCCATTCCTGGCAGTGTTGAAGGGCAGGTTGGATGGGGCTTGGAGCAGCCTGGGCTGGTGGGAGGTGTCCCTGCCCATGCAGGGGGGTTGGGACTGGATGATTTTATAGGTCACTGCCAACCCAAACCAGCCCGTGATTGTATAATTCTACCCTGAAACCATCACAATCATTTTTTTTCCACCCCCGAAGAAGTTAAATTATGGTAAATGCAAGGAGGAGTCAGGATCAGTCCCACCTCCTGATGCTGTGGGGCCCAGCAGAGGAACTCACAGCCACTCGAGGCGATGCAGCTCCTCAAACACCCAGGGCTTCAGCTGTGTGATCCTGTTGTGGCTGAGGAACCTGGAACCCGTGCAGAGGAGAAGATGGATCCTCAGGCACCACTGTTGAAATTGCTCTTCCCTCTCTGCCCACTGCCCCATCTCCCTGAGCAGCTCAGAGGCAGATCCCAGCTCAGGCTGGGCTACACGGAGATGGGAAGAGGGGTTTGTAGGAGGGAAAATACCTCTGCCCTGTGTTCACCCAAAATACACACAACTCCAGCTTCAAGCACGCTTGGTACCACCTCTTGCAGGAGCAAGAAGGGCTCAGAACCTGCCTTGAGCCTCCAGGCTGAGAAGAGCCAAGGACTGTGTCCTTCAGGGCTTCCCTCCCCATAGCACAGGCCCCTTTACTCACAACATTTTAAGCTGAGAAAGTCCAGCAAAGGCTTTTGGTGAGATCACCCGGATCTTGTTGTTTTGCAAAAAGCTGTTTAAAACAAAAAAAGAAAAAAAAAAAACAACAACAAAAAAAAACAGAAAAGAGACTGAAGAAATACATTTCCCAAGGGGTTCTCAGGGTGCTTGGGATGTGCCCATGTCTGCAGGACACCAGCCTCTGCAGGACCGACCCCTTCCAGGGGCTCACAGCACCTGTGACAGGCACCTCTTGAGTTCAGTGGGCACCACAGGCTGCAGGAGCTGGAAAACCTGCTCCCTGGACAAACACACTGTCCCATCAGGGTTTGTCCCAGGTGAAGCTGTCCCGACATGCTCGTTCCTCTGCTCATGGCCCCACCACTGCTGCTCTCCCCTGCTCCACAAGCCAGCCAGCAGAAAGCAAGGTGATACTCACAGCTTCCTCAGGCTCCTGTACCTGGCAAACTGGTTGTCCAGCAGAGAACGGATTTTATTTTTTTTTAGGTCCCTAGAAAGAAAACAGAAGGAAAAACAATCAACCCCAGGGCCAGCAGCCTAGGCCACAGCAGAGACCTTGAGCAAGGGAGAACAGCAGAGACCAGATCTTCCTTTTGCAATACCCGTGAGATGAGGAGCAGCTGCTGCTCATCAGCACTGCCTTGCTAATTGCCCTCCCGATCTGCAGGCATCATCTGCAGATGAATTGTCCCCCACTCTCCTCCCTTCCCAGCCCTTGCCTCCTGTGTGCAAGTGCAGCCCAGCCTCAGCTTTGCTGACACCCCCTGGCTCTGTGTGCCTGGGGGAGGCTCTTTGCTTCTTCAGGGGCAACAAGGAACAGCCAGGGATTTTGCTTCATCCCCTCTCAGCTTCTTTTCCTGCCAGGTGGCAGCTTGAACCCTGCTTGTGCCTCTCCCGGGGGAGATGGTGCCTGCACCCACCACTACTCACATCCTGGTGACGTTGGAGGAGACGGAGGGGACAGAGGGCAGGTCCTGCTGGGTGCAATCCAGAGCCCTGCCCCGGCACCGGCACCGCGCCGGGAACAGCTCCAGCCCTGCGGGCAGCCAGGGGGGACAGGGGTGAGGGGGGACAGGGAGGACCCCCCAAGGAGGACTCCCCAGGGTGCCCATTCCTGGGGAGGGCAACTTACCACAGACATCCCCCTCATCCTCCAGCGGCAGCTCCCGCTGGCTGCTCCTCACGGCCAGCATGTCCCCCAGGATCTGCAGCCACCCACTGTCATCCACTGCGGGAACAGTGGGGACAGGATCAGAGCCTGTGCATGGGCAGTGGTGCTGAGCAGGGCCCTGGCAGCCTGGCTGGGGATGGCTGGGTCACACAGGGCTGGAAGTTTGGCTCGAGCCCCACAGATGCACTGGGACAGAACAAGGATTCCTCCAGCCCCATGGGGTACCTCCAGGCACTGCCACCACACAGATTTCCTTCTTTTCATAGAATCATAGAGTGACAGACCAGTTTGGATTGGAAGATCACCTTGTTCCAACCCTCCTGTATGGGCAGAGACACCTCCCACCAGCCCAGGCTGCTCCAAGCCCCATCCAACCTGCCCTTCAACACTGCCAGGGATGGGGCAGCCACAGCTTCCCTGGGCAACCTGGGCCGGGGTCTCACCACCCTCACAGGAAATAATTTCTTCCTAACATCTAATCTAAATCCACCCTCTTCCAGTTTAAAGCCATTAACCCTTGTCCTATTACTACTTGCCCTTCTAAAAACCACTTCCATTCCAAGCATCCCACCCAGCCCACTTTAAGGACACACTGAGCCAGATCCGCTCAGCTAACCAGCTCCCAGAGGGGGAATCTGTCCAGTCTCCAACTGATTCCCACTGATCCCTGAGCAAAGTGCTGCTGTGGCCCTGTGTGCTGTGCAAAACCAGGAACTCAGTTGGTGTCCTTAAGTTTGCTGACCCTGAGTGTCCTGACGGGAAGCGCAGAGCCTCTCTGCTCCCCTGCCCGCCCACCATGGCCCAGCCTGTAGCAACGAGGGTTTTCCAGCACTCCAGGCTGGGACAATCCCTGAGGGAAGAGCTCCCAGGGCTGCTGTGACAGGGCAGCACGCCAGGAGCTGAGGAAGCAGCTGGATGACTGAACAGATCCAGGATTCCTCACACTTCCCAGAGGAAGAGCAATCTCTGCTCTAATGCACTCACGGTCCCATATCCTGGTTTTCCCAGGTCTGGGGGGTATCCCACTGAGGACACCCCCCTGTCCCAGGGTTGCTGCTCACCACAGTTCTCCTCGTCAGCCCCGTTGCCGCAGTCGTCCTCCCCGTTGCAGTGCAGGGCCTGGGGCAGGCAGGAGGAGAGGTTGCCGCAGGGAAACTGCCCCAAGGGACACTCATCCCGCTGGGAGAGGATCAGGGGAAGCTCTGTCCAAGGAAGAGGAGATGCTCAGCAGCTGGGAAGCCCCCAGGCCCCTTGCAGATGCTGCCCCATCCCTTCGGGGCACCGAGTTCCTGGGGCTACATCCTGCTCTGTGTCCAGCTCCAGGGACTTGGTTCTGCTTGGTGAAACCAAAACCTCTCCAAGAGGAGAGACACAGAGTGAGATCTCCTGCATGATGGTGGGTCAGTCTCTTGGTACAGCAGGGGCTTACTTGTAAAGAAGAGATTTTGGTCCCCTCAGAGCTGGGAGGGGTGTGGTGAGGGCTGGGGCTCCCTGGGTGCCACCAGCTTTGGGACAGGGTGTAGGCAAATACCAGAGGGAGAGCAAGCAAAGAGGGGGCAGTGCCTGGGGTGGAGCAGCCAGTGCTGCCCTCTCATAGAGGGCAAGCATGAAATTTGTGTGTGGCAAGATGGACAAACTCATCTTGTGTGGCTGCTACTTTGGATTTTCCTTAGCACCAGTTTCTCCTGGGCAGTGGGTACAACAAACATTTGAGCCAAGCGTAATAGTTAATGTCTAACTGGTGAGTGTTAATGTTCCCATGAAAGGGCTGTATCACAGAATCACAGAATCATAAAACTATTCAGGTTGGAGAAGCCCCTTGGGATCACCCAGTCCAGCCATCATCCCTGCTCTGCAAAGTTCTCCCCTAAACCACATCCACCAACACCACATCCAAGCCACGCTCCAACACACCCAGGGCTGGTGACTCCACCACCTCCCTGGGACATATTTATTAAATATTTATTAAAAATACCTCATGCTGGCAGATCACACTGAATAAAAGAAAGCATGTGCAAAAAACTAAATAAAGTTATGTCTGTGTCAGAAGAGCTGATGTCTGTGCTGGGCATCAGTGTGGAGAACCCATGGGAATCTGCTCCTCAGCATGAGAGGTCCTGTGGGTGCTCAGAGTGGGAGCTGCAGGGTCCTGGCCACAGCTATGGCTGCAATGCCAGGAGGGCTCCTGCTGCAGCAGCAGAGCTGGTGCTTGCTCAGGACCTCCATGAGCCCTTGCAGGGGACCAGCCAACCTCCATCACTGGGATGACAGAGTAAGAAAACAGGAATCTGGAAAGGCTGGAATGGTGCAGGAGCCCTGGCTTCTCTTCTCAGCCCTGCATGTCCCCCTGCAAGTCCTGCAAATGGAAACAGGTCTGACCCCAGCCCTGAGATCAAGTTCCTCCAGAGAGATTTTTTTCCTGTCTCAGTCCTATTTCTAGTTGCCCATTGTCTATTGTCTCAGGAAGGCAACAGGACCCTTCCTAGAGTCTCCAGGTCCCAATTGCAGAGAAAGTATCTGCACATGGAACTATGTAAATACTACAAGAGCAGAGTTTACACATACATTTACTTATACATACAAACACAGATAGCTCCTATTTTTGTTCAGGAATGATGCTCAAGCCCCAGGTTTCCCTCCAAAGTGCTGCTTTCCAGCCACTCCCATTGGACTGCATTCTGCATTAACCCCCCCTAGGGCTGCAGAAACCAGTGACTGTGCAGGGCAGAGACCAGAGAACAGCCAGAGACAGGGAAGGAGAAGGTGGAATATAAAAAATAAAAATAAAAATAAAAAAAGGAAAGAGGAAACGTGTGTGCTTGAGGCAAGAGAAAGCACTGATTTGGATTGATGCTGCCTATAAGATAAAGGGACCTTCTTTGGCAGTGGCAGGATGGGGTGGGCACGGGCAGTGTCACCACAGGGACCCTCATGCCTGGCTCTGCAGGGCACAGAAGGAAGCACAGCCAGAGGAGGCAGCCAAATGGAGCTGGGAAGCTCAGCATCTGCCCTAACTTTTCACAAGGCTCACACACTGCCAAGAAAACAGCCCTGACCAAATCCTCTAGAAGCTGAGAGGCTGAGTGACACACCCCTTGGGTCTGCACTGCCTCTGTCTGCAAAGAATCCACCCAAGTTCTGCCAGGGAAGTCCCAGAGCCCCGGTCCTCCTCACTATGTATCCCCCCTGTATCCCACCCAGCACTGCAGGCCCCTTCCCACACTATCCCCTCAGTTCCTGCCCCAAGGAGGGCTGAGCTGCCCCTGAAACAAGCAGTTCTAAAGCAGACACAAAGAATTCATGGTTTGATTGGAGAGAAAGCTTCAGCCCCCCTCTCTCCCCCAGCCAGGAGGGGACAGTCTGCATTGCCAGCCACAAAAGTAAACCACAGCAAACCAGAGCAAAACAGAAATGAGCTCCTGTCTTTCCACCATCCCCCTTCTGACCTCCCAGCAAGTGTTGACCATTCTCAATCCCGTTTCTGTCCTCAGCTCCCTTTCAGACCATACCATCGGTGTGGCAGCTGGCTTCTCTCCCCTCTCTGCTTCCTTGCTTGCTCACTCTGCTCTTAACTGGAGGCAGAATCCCAGTTTGCAGCCACTTCTGGGCTGCCAGGGGATGCTGGTGCCCAGAAGAGTGAGCAGCAAGTGATGCTGAGAGCAGCGTCACCAGGCACACAAACTCCTCACGGGACAGCAGACTCTTCCGAGCATGCCAGGTGCCAGGATCTGCATCAGAATCCCAACATAAACCAGTCCATGTGCCATGGAGGTCTCCTCCCCACCTGGGGTGCCCTGACACCCCAAACCAGCCACTTACTTGCAGCAGCACCGAGCAGTGCTGGCAGGAGGACGAGGAGCAGCCGCATGTTGGCAGGGGCTCCGAGCCCTCCTGGGCTGCGGGCAGGAGGGGAGGCCAAGGGGGAGACGCTGCTGGGTCCTCTCCTCCTCACGTCCACACACCCCCCAACGTCTCCCAGGAGCACACAGGCTGGGGATGCTACAGGCAGTCACTGGTCCCCAAGAAGCCGCAGGCTCTGTGTCTCCATCGGCCGCAGTCAGGTCTGCAGCACCTCCCGGGGCTCAGCATCCAGCCCGGGGATGTGCAGGGCAAAGGGAGGAGATGAGGATGAATCCAGGCTTTCACCTGTGCCCCCCAGCCCGGGGGCAGTGGGGGGCTGTGCTGTCCCTCCTGCCCAAGGACACCCTGGTGTGCACACCCCAGGGGAGCCAGGCTGGGGAGGAGCAGGAGGAGAAGGAGGAGGAGGAGAAGGAGGAGGAGGAGGTGAAGGAGGAGGATGAAGGACGCTTCCCCCTCAAGAGGGCCCTCTGCTGTCAGCACCTGCTTCCACCCGTGTCCTGTGGCCTGATGGATGTGACCTAGTTGTGGCATTCTTGGGGGTCCCTGTCCCATCCCTGCCCCAGCCACCAGTCCTGGTGAGGGGACAGGGCAGACACCACCCCTGAGCCTTCATCCGGTACTCAGACCAGGGGGGCTGGTGCCCATCTCTGCCTCATTCTCCCTGCTGATGTTGTGGTCCCCTTACTCCCCTCCCCAGGCTGTCTAGGGCTCCTCCAGCCCCCTCCTCAGTGCTTCAGGGGGGTAAGCAGAGAGGAAGATGAGGGGGTGCTGAGCAGCCCACATGGGCACAGGTCCCTCCACAGGGACCAGAGGTGGCACAGCCACCCTCTTTGTGGGGCATGGGGACAGCCCTGCCCCAGCCCCTGGGCCAAGTTCACCAGATTCCTGAGGAGGAAGGAGCAGAACTGGCATTTCACAGCTGCGAAGTGGGAGGGAGGAGAGAAAGGTCCTGGAGCAAACCCCAACCCTGCCTTTGCTCTCCATCCTGCCTCCCAGCCTGTCTGCATCTCTCCTTGGGGTCTCCTTTCCCCAGCACTTCCACAGCCTCGATACTGGTCCAGAAAATCTGTAAAAAATTAGCCCCTCTCCTGCTGCTGGAAACCAAAATCTTGACTCAGGTCACAGGACCTGCTGTCCCACCTCCCCTCAGCCTGGAGACATCAGAGTGGGGGATTAAATGACACACGTATCCCCCTTTTATCTGCATATTATCAAAGAATGAATCCAAATTATTGCTGATGCTTCTAAAACAAGTCAACAACTGTTTCTGTCCCTGCTTCTGCTTGTCATTGGTGCTGACATCCCTTTCCTGCACCTTGAAGGAAAAAGGGTCCCAGAAGGATGATGAAGGGACTGGAACACCTGTTTTATGAGGAAAGGCTGAGAGACCTGCAGCTGTTTAATCTAGAGAAGACTAAGAAGGGATCTTAGTAATGTGTATAAATACCTGAAGGGTGGGTGTCAAGAAGGAGGGGCCAATCTCTTCTCACTTGTGCCCTGTGATAGGACGAGGGGCAATGGATCCAAACTGAAGCCCACGAAGTTCCACCTCAACATGAGGAAGAACAACTTTCCTGTGAGGCTGACAGAGCCCTGGGACAGGCTGCCCAGAGAGGCTGTGGAGTCTCCTTCTCTGGAGACCTTCTAGACTTGTCTGGATGCCTTTCTGAGTGACCTGCCCTAGATTCTGTGGTGGTCCTGCTCTACCTGGGGGATTGTACTTGATGATCTTTGGAGCCCCTTTCCAACCCCCACATTCTGTGATTCTGTGAAGTGCCTTCTGGCTTTGCACCTGGTGCAAAAACCCATCCCTTTATCCCTCTAACACAACAGCAAAGCCTGCTCCCCTCAGGCAACCCAGGGGCACCCATCATATCTTAGATAGACCCCACATTTCACTGCTCTTCATCCAAGCTGCAGTTCTTGTAGCTCTCCAGGACATCTCCAGGGCCCACTCTTTGCTCCAGCCCTGGACCAGCGCTTTGCACTCTCAGAGCCTTTCAGCTTTCTCTCCCCCTGCTCCTGCAGGCTGTCAGCATCTTTACACCAAGCCTGCATTTCTTAGCATGGGGGTCACTGATGGGCCAAAACATCTCATCTGACTCTTTTTGGCAGTGCTCCCCATTCAGCTCTTGGGGACCCACCACCCACCCCACTGGCGTTGGGGTCTTGGACACTTCCCATGTGCAGTCAATCTCTGGGCTGTGAAGCCCAGCAATAGATTATGCTATGGAGCCCCGAGGGGCTTGGAGAGGACTTGTGCAATTGTGGGGTGTGGATTCATAACCCAGGGTTTTGAAAGCCTAACCTCTCTGCAGAGCTCTGCAGTCATCCATGGGGCAGCCCCTTCCCCTTCCCCTCCCCCTCTCCCTGGAAAATGTCACTTCTGAGCAAATAAGCCAGCTTTTCCCTTTCACTTTGTTTCCCACTGGAATGATCCCTCAGTTCTCACTCTAGCCTGGCTTCTCTGGTGCTTTTTTCTCCTCCATTTGAGGGGAGACTGCCCGTGGCTGAGGCCAGCAGCTGCACGTCCTCCTGCGGGCACGGAGTGGGTTGGTGGCAGCTGGTGTGTGACACCTTGTACCCCCAGCTCTGCTCCCCACCAGGCATGGCCAGCAGGGCTCCATCACTTGGATGGAACTATTAGCCCAGGGCCATTACTGGGCTTTTTCACCCATCCACCAGCAGCCCCAGCCCCAGATCCTGAGCCCAGGAGGCAGGATGCTGAGCTGGAGCAGAACAGCTGCCATTTAGTCATATAATACAGAAATACGTGCTCATCAACTTGAGAAATCACCTCCCGAGGAGCAGGCTGAGGTAGATGTGAAGCTGATCCACCTTTCCCTAAGTCAGCAGCCTCATCCCACCCACCTGCCCCTCCTCACTCTCCTGCCAAAAGGACAGGCAGGTTTCTCCTCCCGTTGCAACCTGGGCTCACCAGAGCCAGCAGCCTCGTGCCTGAGCTGCACGTTCCATGCAAAGCCCCAAACCTTCTGAGCTAAACTTGGGGCAGCCTTAGCAACTGCCCTGGTTTGTGGTTGTCAGCTCTGGTGCTGCCCAGCTTCTCCCTCTGCCTTCTTCAGAGGAGGGACCCTCTCAGCAGCAGCACATGCCCACAGCTCTGCTGAACAACTGGCCTAAGACAGACCAAAACACCTGCAGGAATAGGGCAGTGCTGGTGAGATATGAAGGATTAGTCAGACCAGGACCATGTCTAGGACCAGGCAAGAGGCTGGAATCGTGCATGTGTCTTCACTAAATCCTCTCTGAAGTTCTCCAGGCAGAGCTTGTGCCACCTGCCCAGTGCAGCAGTCACAGCAACAGGCATGAGGGTCCTGGTTCAAGGATAAGAAGGAAATTCAGGTGTCTTTACTGCCTGACCCTGGGGTGGCAGAACCTTTTTGGTAAACATGTTCATTTATAAATAAGAGAAGATGCAGCAAACCTGTGCAGCACCCCCTGCCAGCTCTGCCCTGGATGGGCACAGCTGCTCTGGGCTCCCTGCACCCAGCGGGGAACCAGGCTGACCACACATCCTGCAGGGCAGTGAATGGTCCCATCAGGGCTCACCTAAACCCACAGCCCACCTAAAACCACAGATGATACATCTACACCTCCCAGCAGGGCAGCACCTTGACAGGTCTCTGCATTCCCTTTCTGTTCCTGGAGCCAACCCTTGAGGCAGAAGGGAGATGGAGAAGAGGACAAATTGCACAAATTACAACTTTAAGTGGTGCTTTGGAAGGTAAAAAAGGAACCTGAACAAAGTTCAATCCCATTATCAGCCATATTAATAGCTAAGATGAGTTGGAAGTAGTGAACTTGAAAACACCTTCCTCCAAAAAATTCATTTCTTAGTTGGCAGAAGAAGACAAGGGGGAAGGTCATGGGTTTGAGCCTGCCAAGTGCT